TCCAGATGTAGTCTGAGTCTGGTCGTTGTGATAGCTTCTAAGTCTCTTCTTTTGAGATACAGCAAGCAGACCAGATACACACACCCAGGACTTTAATCTCAACCTCCTTATCACCTTGTAAGCAAATAAGCATTTCAAAGACACACCAGTACATTCTTATGCAAACCAAGGTAAGCAAGCATACCACAGTGAACAAATGATCTTCTACTTATCTCAGGTAAATAAACTTAATTTTAAAATATAAACAGAATATAAGTTTAAATATAAACAGTATACATATACCATAAATAATATTGTATATTACCATAAGATATTATAATGTTTGATATAGAGTATTTTATATGTTTATATAAGTACATATAAATGTAGATTATAAATATAAACCAAATCCATATAAAATATCAATATAGAAATGTATAAATAATATATGTAGATATATAGAAATATAAAATACAAAAAAATACAAAATCATATAAATCGATACAATGCATAATACATATTATACTGTATCTATATTATTATAACACATTCTATGTCATATAAATTATATATCTAAATGCATACTATTTTGTAAATATTGTATATACAAAATATATTGTAATATAATAGATAAGAACCTATTAATGTAAATATCAAAAGCATAAATATAGAAATATTGAAATATAGTTTAAATTAAAGGGGTTTTTATTTCTATTTGGTAGTAGGCAGGGTTTTTTATTATAAAAATTATAAATATAAATAAAATAAAGTTAGAAATCTATATATAGAAATATATCATACATACATTAAGATATATGTAAAAATGAAAATGTAAGTAAATAGAAGTATTATCGGTATATATGAAATAAAATGTAATAATAATTTCCCTATCTTGTTACCTTATGCCTTGGTTCGACAAGACAGGAGTCTGTGAAAGAGGGCAAAGCCTCCTGTGCAATGGAGAACGGCAAACCCCCCTCCCTCTGAATTACCAGGATCTTTAAATTAAAAGGCTCTCAGGCAAAGATATGGGAGTGGGAGTAACAATTCTTTACTAGGAGAAAACTAGACAACAATTTAAAAAAAGGCAAATGCAATCGGTACAAACAAAACCAGTGAAAGAAAAAGTCCAGAACCTGAGGGATGCCAGTATCAGTTCTGCTGGGACAATTGCTTCCCTTGCAATAGTTGATGAGTTGCAGCTGCAGTGGTGATCTTTAGAATGGTATAGTTTTCCTCTGAAGATCTGGTGGCAGTGGGGCCGGTCTTCCTCTGCGCCGGGGTTGCCTCTGAGCTCCGCCGCTGTCGGCTCAGCGCGCGCCGGCTGCTTCGCTGCGAGTGCCGCCGAAGAGAGAGCGAGAGAGAGAGCTGCTTCTCTGGGAATCCCGTGAAGAGAGAGAGAGCTGCTTCTCTCGGAATCCCGCAAAGAGAGAGAGAGAGCTGCTTCTCTCGGAGTCCCGCCCAGAGAGCTGCCTCCTCTCCCCAAAAAGCTACCCCTTTAAACAACAATAGAGTGCTTGGCTTCCCCCCTCTGGGTGGGACCCCTCACGGTGTTACATTTACCAGCCCTTCATTGAATCAGTCAATGGTGTATAAACAAACCATTGCCTCTACAGGGCAAACCATTGTCTCTGGGAGAGATAACAAAAACCTGTCCAACCGGTTTCGCCTTCAACAGATGGCAAATGGAATACAAGCTTATCTTACAACCCAGGACACCTTATTATATATATTTATAAATGTAATACATCAATATAAGGTATAAATCCAAATGTGAATATAATTATGAAAAAAATATAAATATTCAAATACTGTTTAAAGAAAGGGCTTTTTTGTTTATTATTTAGGTAAAGGCAGGGTTTTTATTGAAAAAATAGGAATATACATTTTATTTTTATATAATTCGAAATATAGAAATATATAATCAATGTATAAAGATATATATATAAATATAAAATAGAAATAAAAATAAGTAATAGGAAGAGAGAATATAAATAACACTATAGCTATCAGTCTACATTTAAAATGTATGTTTCAATATAAATGCAAAAAATAGAAATGAAAAAAAATTCAACACAGTTTAAAATAAAGGGTTTTTTTAGGTTTTTAATTGGGTAGAGGCAAGGGCTTTATTTTGAACAATATAAACCTTTTAGAAATATCAATCTAAATATAGAAATATATAATCAATATATTAAGATATGTATAAAAATATAAATTATAGCAAAATATAAGAAATAGGAATAAATTTAAGAAATTATAAAATTATCATTATACAACAATATAAATTATAAATCAAAATGTGAATATAAATATAAAAAATATAGAAATAAAATATATTGAAATATAGTTTAAAAGAAAAGGTTTTTTCTTTTGGTTCTTATTGGGTTAGAGGCAGGGGTTTTTTGTTGGTGTTTTTTTTCGTGCGGGATGTTTTTGGGCATTTACTGTAGAGGATGCTTTGAAGGCGATCGCGCCTGTTCTTTTTTGCCGCCTTCCCTGGCTTTCCCCGCCCCTCCTGCCGCCCTCCTTGGAAGGTCAAGCGAGTCCCCATTCCCGTCCCGCCGCCTCCCTGTGCTTCCCCACCGTCTCCACTCTCGCACAAACCCCCCGCCTTCTGGCCCCACTCCGGTTCAGGAAAATGCAGGAGAACACGGAAGCACCGGGGCAGAACCGGCGCTGGAGGTGCCCGAGCCGTCTCCCTGCCCGTATGAGCAGAGGTGCCTGCCGCCGTGCGCTGACAGGCACGCAGGATGGGCGGCTCCGGCCCGCTTTGCCTCGCTGCATTCCGGTGCCGCGCTGCTGCGGGAGAAAAGGGCAAGAGCTCCAGAGCCCCGAGCAGAGAGCTAGGGAATGGGAGGAGAGGAAGGTTTGGGCTAAGGGTGGATTGAAACCGGGCTGCCTGCCTATTAGTGCGCAAAGAGACGTTTGTCATGCACGCTGCCAAAATGAACACCTGGTACACCCTAGGTCTGCCTTGTGCTTCACGTGTTTTTATTTCCTATTTAAGTCATCCCAAAAAGCAAGGACGGAGCAAATGGGACTGGCTCCCACTATTGCTGTGTGAAGGCTTTTTACAAGCTGCTGTGTTGATGTCATCTTTTTTTCACTCCAAGCTTGGCTTTTCCCATCCTTTTCCCATGGCTGCTGCATTGGGTGTCCCCAGGGGGGCTGGGTTCCTCAGCAGGGGTCTTAGGAGTTGCTATGAATTCTGGTTTTTCTGAAGGAGTATGGAGGTGTGCTATCAAATCAGCTCTTTTCTCTCCTGAAAAGCTTTCCAACTGTGACCACCCACATGTCTGTGTGTTTTAATCACGTAGCCAGATGCACTAAAGTTTTTACTTTCTAAGCCAAACCTGAAGCAGATGACTGCTTTGTGTGTGTGAGAAGTGACATTTGTGCTGGAGAGCTTCAGTGGGGAAGAAAAGATGGACTAAACATGCTCTGGGGATGGGCACGGAAGGAAACACTTGCACAGAAAGGTGAGGCACTGACAATTCCGGAGGAAAAATGAGAGGTGGTTGCTTCCAATCCATGGGGACTTTCCTTTGGAATGATCAATCAGAGAGTGTATGGAAGCAGAGAGCATCTTCTGGCTATTTCTGCTCTGTAACCTTCTCTCTGGTGTCACAGGTCTGTGCTGGAGAGTGGGAGAACAGTCCCCACTGTTGCTGTGTCCTCAGTGGGCAGAGAGCTCTGACCTCAGCCAGATGGGCTGGTGAGTATTGAAACAATCACTGCCCCTTCATGAGCAAGTTGTTTCAAGGAGTCATCAGCAGGAATGGCTTTTAGCCAGCTTCAGTTCAATTTCTTTTTCAGTTTCTGTTTCTGCGTGTTTTGATCCTGACATCGCCAAACCCTCAAGTTTGCTGAATTAGAGCTCTTACCTGTTTGGCCCATGAAATATCCCGGAAGCTGATCGATGTCTTTGTGCTCCTGCTGCATTCATTTGGGCTGTGCTTCCAGCTTCTCTTCCTGGGCTCTTGCAGTTGCTGTATCTCTTGGATGCCGTGCAGAACGGAATCAGACAGCCAAACCTCAGGTTCACCTTCTCCCTGACACTCTACACTGCTCATGTGGCAAAGCAAATCCTGAAGCCAGGTACTGGAACTTGCTGTGTGTGTCACTGCTGGGATGAAAAACAGAGCCCTGGGGAGTGTTGCTCTCCTCACCTGCTCTGTGCTCATGCACTCTTGACTGAGCCTTTCCTCCTGGGCAAGAGAAGGGGAGGGTGGGCAGCAATCAGAATGAGCTTCAGAGCAAAAGCCTTCTGCAGTTGCTGGGCTGTTCTCCCAGCTTGGAGCACTGCACATTCACCACAGTTTCCATGAATGGTCATCCATGCTTGTGGATTGGGAGCATTCTCCTCCTCCACAATGCCAGCTTTTTCTCTTTACAGAGGAGCACATGTACATAAAGGTAAACAGATTCCTTTTGTAACACCAGTATTTGGACCTGAGGAAGGTACCGGATTCTACAGTTTTGATTTTGAGGTAAGGATCCCATTTTAGGTATCCAGTAATTCTTCAGGAACATATTGAAAACAGCTGTAAAAATACAATGAAACCTCATTCTCCCATAGGTAGTTAATTAGAAGCATCTTTCTTATGTTTCATATTGGAAATAAAAATGTTATTTCCATGGGTTTTTTTTTGTTTGTTTGTTTTCTTAATACTAATGCACAATGAGTTGTGCTGTGTATGCTCTTTGAGCACAAGAAACAGAATATTCTGCCCTGGCTAGTTACAATTCCTATTTGAGTTTAGATTAGTATCTTTGAGTACAACTGAAGTATTTTAGAAACAGCAACTTCTAAAATTCCATTTCCAGTGCATGTTTGGGCTGCAGACTGACTGTTCCCAGTGTCTGTTAGTGATTAAATTTGATAGGAATGGAAATAGAAATCCAGAACAAGCTGTGGTAAGCCCTGCGCTGGCACTCAGAGGGAACCAGGGTTTTATGCTCTTAGGAGCAGTTATTCTTTGGAAATGTCTACATGTCTGATAGTGGTATTTTTCTTTGTGGCTTCCAGTACAAAACAGAGCATGAGTGGATCCTCAGATTTCTTGGGGAAGGGCTGGGTGACAAACATTGCTATGAGCTTTATGACTACCAGAGGATTTTCCAGATCATTCTTTCCTTTTTCAACAGTCTTTTGTGTGATGAGGACTCCCAGGTAAGAATTTGAAAAGAAAGTTCCAAAAAACTCTAAACCACAGAAGCTTGCATGGCTTTGAGATCTCAAGTACCAAACAGAAAGAAACAGCTGACTCTGCCTTGGTCCTCTTGAAAATCTGTTCCTTGTTGGTTTTGTTATAGATAAAAATTGATCCAGCCAAATTAAAAATAAAAAAAAATAAAAATTTTGTTACAGCGATCAAATTCTATCTGAGCCAGACACAAAGAAAAGGACAGTGCCAAGCCTGGGATCAGCACTGGGTGGGTCACAGGTTTGACTACTCCAGCAGAGAGTCTCTCTATGCCACACACCACCCTCTTGGCACAAGCAGTTTTTATAGGAAATATTCTGCCTGAGGCTGGGATTTTGGCAATCAGTCTTTTCTTCCCGTTCAAAGTCCCACATATTCATCTCTGTGCTGGGGTGGAAGAATTCAGGGTCTGGTGGTGATGAATCTTCTTGATGGGGTTACAGGCTTTCAGATGTATCAGCCTGGAGGATTTCAGTGATCCCATCTCAGGCTGAGCCACATGTATTAGGTTGCAAATGAGGTTTTGTCAGAAACCAGTTTTCAAATATGTGGGGGCGGCTCCCAATGCCAGCAATAATATAAAATGTTACACATATCATATTATACTGGCGCAAATTGCATTTATTACATATAACAATTTTGTGTATTGTGTGGAGGGGGAAATAATTGCTTGTGTCTAAACCAGTCCCATCCACATCCCCTGAAACTGGAACAGGTTCCTGCCATCATGGAGCCTCACATGGGTGCTGTGGTTTTGCTCCTGCAGTCGGGGCCTTTTCTTTTTGGGATCTCTATTCCCCAGCCAGCACATTTGTTACCTGAACAGTGCTTCAGCAGGAGGGAAACTCACATGCCAGGAGCTCTCAGGTTTGGGAACATCCACCCTGAGTATTTCAAGTATCAAAACCTTGGACAAAAAGAGAAAATTGTCTTGCTACCTGAATACTTCTTGTAAGAGCAGCACCGGTAGTATGAAGCGTTGAAGGGAGAATGTCTTTCCTTCTCTGGAGCTCCTGAGAACAGGTGGTGTTCATTTTACCTGGAAGTTGATCAGATACCAGACAAATTGCTAATTTTAAATTAGATAATTAGATCTTGGGTGTAAAAGAACAAGTTGCATTTTCTGTTTCAGAGTCATATTCTGGAGATATTACAAAGTGCTGCCCATGTCACCAGAGCTGCCTTTGAGCTGATACAGGATCACAGTCTCCCTAGGTCAGGAGGCGGTTGGGCCTGGATCGGGGAGGAGGCCATCAAGGATGGGGACCTTGAGCTGGCCAAGGACCTAGGGCCATTTGCGGCACCGGTAATTTTGAGGAGGGGAGGGCAATCCAGGTGGGAGCAACTTCCCTATGTGGAAGTGAAGGAGTTGAGGGCGGCCAAAGACTACAGAAGGGACTCTCCATTTTTTAAGAATGTCTTAGATCTGACATTCTCGGGACACACTCTGGTCCAGCACGACTTGCGATATATCGCAAAGTCATTGCTTACCCCCACTGAACTATTATTCTGGGAGATTCACTGGAAAAAATTTTTGAAGCCTCTTCTCAAAAAACATAAACACAGGTGCTTGGTGACGGGGAGGAAGGACTGGAGGCTTTGGCAGGGGAGGGTGATTTCAGCCGCCCAGAGGACCAAATACTGTTCCCTGTGGCCCTCCTGGAAGACATCAGAGAGGCCAGCCGGGTTGCACTTTTAAAAATACCTGATGGTAAAACCCCCCTCCAGAGCTTCTCATCCATAGTCCAAGGGCCAGAGGAAACATTTATCAAGTTTGTGGACAGGCTCAAAGAAGCCATTGACTGGCAAATAGACAACCCAGCAGCATGGGAAGAGCTTCTCCGAAAGATGGCCATGACAAATGTGACATCTGAGACCAAGAAGATCTTGTGAGCTCTGCCTCAGGACCTGGAGCCCACCATCGCTCAGATGGTGGAGGCCTGCACCAAAGCCACCTCAACGGAAGCCACTGTCACCATGGCCGTGAGTAAGGGGATCGGGGAGGCCATGCTTAACATGAACACTGTTCGCTGCTTCGGGTGTGGCCAGATGGGGCACATACAAGCCTGCATTGGCCCGCGGAGAAGTGGTACCATCCTTATGTTTCCCCCCAAGGCCGTACTCTAGGAACCCACAGCAGCAACACCAGCCAGCGGGAAACAGGCCGCAGAGCGCAAGGAGGGGCTGCGCAATGACACCAAGTGGCCCCTCACAGTGCCTGAGCCTCCCTACCATCTGGGAGGACCAGTGGCCCAGCAGTCAATTTCGGAGGATTGGCGGAGACATGAGGACGGACTCCGCCTCTTCCGAATAACCGCAAATCTAGACCCAGACAGCCGCCGGGTCCTCACGAGCGCTATTATGATCACATTTCCAGATGAGGACCTGGTGAGGGTTCCCTCGGGGTTCCTGGAGCCCCCTTACTGCGACCACAACACCGCTGTATTGATATTAGGCAACAGCAGGCACACCCCAAATGAAATCACGATCATTCCAGAGGTGGTTTGCTTCCAGCCAGGGTCTGAAGTAAGAGTCTCTGTTGTATGTCATGAGCCGCCTTTCACACTGGACAAGGGGTTCCCCTTTACATTGTTATACTTGCTGGACATCAGAGACTATATTGGAGAGGACGCTGAGGAAGACAAATATGTCTTCCTCACCCAAAAAGTATGCCACCAAAGACCAATTATTAAGATTGTGCTTTCTTTGCAGGGAAAATCAATTTCCATCAATCTAATGGCAGACACCAGCGTGGATGTGACCATCATTCCCAGGTCAAAATGGCCCCGCGACTGGGAGCTGTTGCCCCCTTGTGGCACAATCTCTGGAGTGAAAGAAGCTGTTAATTCCCTTCAAAGTAAACATCTGGTAAGTGTGAAGGGCCCTGAGGGACAAATTGCCACCATTCGGCCTTCTGTTGTTCCATCTAATATTATGCTATTAGCCAGGGACGTTTTGTCCCAATGGGGTGCCCGACTTGACATCCTCCCTAGCCCTGCATGGAATTTTTAGTGTGCGCCACTGTGGAGCGCACCTCCCTGCCATTGAATTGGAAAACTGACACTCCAGTGTGGGTGGACCAATGGCCCTTGACGGAGGAAAAATTGAACGTGCTCACCAAATTAGTGGAGGAGCAGGTGCGCCTGTGGCATTTAATACCCTCCACCAGCCCCTGGAACACACCTGTCTTTGTCATCAAAAAACCTGGCAAAGACAAGTGGCGCCTACTCCAAGACCTACACAGGGTTAATGATGTTATTGAAGACATGGGCCCCCTGCAGCCAGGCCTTCCCTCATCCTCCATGCTTCCCCAGGATTAGCAGCTCGCAGTCATCGATATCAAAGATTGCTTTTTCAATATCCCACTGTATCCCAGAGATGCTTCCAGATTCGCATTCTCCGTCCCCTCCATTAACTGGGAAGAGCCATACAAACGCTATCAGTGGACCGCTTTGCCCCAGGGAATGAAAAATTCCCCAGTGCTCTGCCAAACATATGTGGCTCAAATATTATCGCCTGTTCAAAAACTCTTCCCTGAGGTGGTGATACTCCAATACATGGACAATGTCTTGATTTGCGCCGCGACAACTACCTACCTCAATGAGGCATTGGCAAAGGCAGTCAAGGCCATCAAGTCTGCAGGATTCCAGATTGCTGAAGAAAAAATCCAGCTTTCCGCACTGTGGAAGTATTTAGGCTTCATCATTGTTGGAAGGACCATCGCGTCCCAGTCACTTACCATCAAAGACAACCCACAGACCCTGCGGGATCTTCAACAGATCTGTGGCACCATCACATGGATCCGACCTCTCCTGGGACTCACCACAGAGGAGCTGGTGTCGCTCTTCAACCTACTGCAAGGAGACGGTGACCTGGCTTCTCTGCGCAAGCTAACACCTGCTGCACGTGGAGCCCTGGAGAGAGTCGCAGAGGCCATGAGATCCTGTCAGGTGCACTGTGTGGACTGGTCTCTTCCCATCACCCTTGCCATCCTGGGTAAGTGCCCAAACTAATTTCCATGGCCTGTTGTTCCAGTGGGACGCTGGTCGGAAGGACCCACTCATCATCATCAAGTGGCTGTTCCTTCCGCACCAGTCGGCAAAAGCTGTGTCTACCCCCACGGAGTTGATGGCCAAACTTATCATAAAAGCACAACACCGCCTCTGGATCCTTGCAGGGTGTGATCCGGTGTGCATTTACCTCCCTCTAAATTTACAACAATTGGAGTCTTTGTTACAAACAAATTAAAATTTACAAATATCATTAGACAGCTATCCCAGACAGATTTCAATCCACTATCCTAAACATAAGTTGTTCAAGGATACACTCTATTTAGCCCCTAAATCTTTTAAAAGTAAAACACCCATCAAAGATGCTCTCACAGTGTTCACTGATGGGTCAGGAAAGTCCCACAAATCAGTGATCACGTGGAAGGACCCGGATAGTCAAAAGTGGGAGTCTGACATTCAGCTAGTTGAGGGTTCTCCCCAGATCGCAGAACTTGCTGAGGTCGTGAGAATGTTTAAGAAATTCCGGAAACCATTCAATCTGGTGACTGATTCAGCTTATGTCGCCAGGATAGCAGAGCTGGCAGAACATGCCCTGCTCAAAGAAATTAAAAATAAAAAATTATTTTACTTGCTCTCGGAACTACTTTGGCTAATCTCCCACTGAGAGCAATTCTACCATATAATGAAAGTCCAGGCTCACACAGATCTGCCAGGACCCATTGCTGAGGGCAACTGGATGGTTGACCAGCTTGCCATGACTGTCCAATTGACTGCACCAGCACTTTCCTCTAATCTCCCAGATGTGTTTGCACAGGCGAGGCTCAGCCATGCCTTTTTTCACCAAAACACTCCTGCCCTCGCAAGGCAGTTTAAGATCTTGTGGGAACAAGCAAAGGCCATTCTTGCCACCTGCTCCAGCTGCCAGTCCCTTGCCCTTCCATCTGTGGCAACAGGGGTTAACCCCTGGGGACTGGGAGCACTGGAACTGTGGCAGACAGACATGACTCATTATAACCCCTTTGATGTCTCAAGTCTATGCATGTGTCCATTGACACATTCTCTGGGGCAGTGTTCACGTCCCTCCACATGGGGGAGAAAACAAGGGATGCCATCAAACATCTTTTTATGGCATTCGCTACTTTAGGGGTACCAAAAGCCATCAAAACTGATAATGGACCTGGACTTACCTCAGGATGTTTTAACGCCTTCCTACAACAGTGGGGAATTACTCTTGTCACAGGCATCCCCCACAACCCCACGGGACAAGCAATTGGGGAGCACTCACACAAAGAAATAAAATGATTGCTCGAACAACAGAACGATTCGGCCCTTGCCATGACCCCAGTTGAGAGACTGTGTAAGGCACTTTACATGCTGAATTTCATAAATTGCACTGACCAGGAGCCGAACCTGCCTATTTTAAGGCATTTTTTCAATAACTCGCAAGCACTTTTAAAGGAACGCCCCCAATCCTGGTAAGAGACCCAGAATCCAAGAACATCAAAGGCCCGTACGCTTTGATAACATGGGGGAGAGGGTACGCTTGTGTCTCGACAGAGCAGGGCCCCAGATGGATCCCAGGGAAGTACATTAATCCCTACTGTCTTGGTTTGACAAGACAGGGGTCTGTGAAGGAGGGCAAAAGCCTCCTGTGCAATGGAGAAGGTAAACCCCCTCCCTCCGAATTACCAGGATTTTTAAATTAAAAGGCTCTCAGGCAAAGATATGGGAATGGGAGTAACAATTCTTTACTAGGAGAAAACTAGATAGCAACTTAAAAAGGCAAATGCAATTGGTACAAACAAAACTAGTGATAAAGTCCACAACCTGAGGATTCGGGGTGTTGGTAGCAGTCCGGTTGAAATGACAGCTGCTCCTCTTGCAGTGGCTGCTGAATTGCAGCTGAAGTGGTGATCTTTAGAAGGGTATAGTTTTCCCTGAAGATCTGGTGGCAGTTGGGCCGGTCTTCCTCTGCGCCGGGGCCGCCTCCGAGCTCCGCCGCCGCTGCCTCACCGCGCTCCGGCCGCTTCTCTCGGGAGTCCTGCCGAAGGAGCTGCTTCTCTGGGAAATCCCGCAAAGAGAGAGCTGCTCTGTCCCCCAAAAGGTACCCCTTTTATCCAATAAAAGAGTGCTTGGCTTCCCCCTCTGGGTGGAGCATCTCACAATGGGATGGTGTTACATTACCAGCCCTGCAGTGAGTCAGTCAATGGCCCATTAACAAACCATTACCTCTTCGGAGCAAACCATTGTTCTTGGAAGAGATAACAAACCTGCCCAACCTCCAACAGATGGCAAATAGAATACAAGCTTATCTTACAAACCAGGACACCTACCTTGATGAGACCACCACGGCAGATCCCCCGATGTGTCACAACCCAGACACCTCAGTCTCATCACTGCCGGACAACGCGGTTGCCTGGAGCCGAGGAAAGAGAAAGAGGAACGCGGTCCAACTGAACATCGTGTCCCACATCCTCATTACACGACACTACCTACCTGTGATAGAAGAGACACTCCCCAACACCCATCTCCTCCCATCCCATTCCCTCTGCCTTCTTACCTTACCCATTGCTCCTTTACCCTACTTTTTTTTTTTTACTTCAACCAAGGGAGGAGCTGGGAGGGGAGGGAACCATATGTCTTTTATTTACATTCGTTCTTTATTGTTTCAGTAGAATGATGATGGCTGCCCAGACAAGATATACCTGGCTGCTCCAACCGAAAGCACCCCACTGTGTCCAGCTGCTCGCCGCCATGACTACCATCCTCCTGTGGCTGCAAGCAGCAGATGGCTAGATCGTGCCACAGCCAAAGGAGAACGTCTGGATCACGCTGGCGAAGTCCTTGAAGCAAGACAATCTCTGCCTGGCCATGGGCAACGTGGACAATCTGTTGTCCACATGCCTGGTGGGGGTTCCCATGGTAGCTGATGATTGGCCTGTCTCTAACTCTGACCTACTCCGAAACACAGGTAAGAGACCTAACCCGGTTGATGCCTGGGATGAGTGGACCCAAATCCTGCCAAATAGTAAAGAGGAACCCCAGGCATTGGACCTGCTGGGGTCCTCCACAGCCACTTATTGTGTTAAATTTTATTTCAGGAGGCCAAGTCAAAATTGGCATGGAATTGACTTGGCCAAGGATACATACAGGAAGGATGTGTCACCACTTAACAAAAAATATAACAGTCAGACCTGGTGCAGTTACACCAGCCAGGTCGTTTCAGTCTTGTCCATTCATCCTAAGATGTTGCCCAGGGGGATGTTTCTTACCTGTGGGGACAGAGTATGGTCGGGAATCCCCTCTCGGTTCCAGGGGGGCCCATGCAGCCTTGGCAAGCTTGCTACCCTTACTCTGAATAAAACACCAATTCTGGATTGGAAGAAAGAGAGACAATTGGCTCATGCAAAAAGATTCTATGCTCAATTCGATGCAAATTGCGATTCTGAAATTTACAATTGGGGTAAGACAAGGAGGGTCACTGCCTCCATCTTTCTCCCATGGTATGCAACTGCTAAGGCCCTTGGTGAGCTTTCTCACCTGGACTGCTGGATTATCAAGCATGCCAATGCCTCATCCCCCACTCTTTCCAATCTATTGGCGGACAAGCAGATCACCAGGCACGCCACCTTGCAAAATAGAGTGGCGATTGATTTCCTGCTGCTCGCCCATGGCCACAGCTGCGAGGACTTCGAGGGGTTGTGCTGTTTCAACCTGTCATCAAGAAGCACCTCCATTCAAGCCAACATCCAGCAGATCCAGAGAGAAGTGAAATCATCAAAACAGAAACTTTAGCTGTGGACCCTGTAAATAGACTGTTCTCGTAGTGGGGTGTCCCCAGGTGGACAGCCTCCATTCTGAAGGGACTCTCATGGATTTTTCTAATTATCATTATAATTTTAGTTGCACTTGCCCTCTTCAAAAGGACTGTAGTTAAAACTCTGGGAGAGGTGTATTTAGTAAATAAAAGTGGGGGAGATGTGGGAGGGGGTCCCGGGGGTAGTCCATCTGAGGTGCCCTGGGGTATAGATTAGGTCTGTCCCTTTCATCATCGCTATCTCCCGTGTTTTCTCTCCTCGTTTTCTGCCGGGTTCTACTGGCAGGAGGAGATGTGCTTTCCCCAGTGTGATATGTGTGTGCGTGTGTGTCCCCCTGCTGTGTGGAGGCAGGGGCTTGAGAAGGTCCCGGAGCACCTGCATCAGGGACTTGTACATTAGGTGGCAGTGCAGGCTGAGCCAGGGGCGCTGATGGGGGAGCTGCCGGGACCCGTGCTCGAGCTGGGGGAACCTGGTATGGAGGGGGCAGGTTTCCTAGGGGTTCCCAAGTTTTTTCCGAGCTTACCTTGTTGCCAGAGGTCTTAATAGGGAACAGCCACGCACTGGCATATTCCCATAGCCTGGCATAATCCAATTCCTCATCGTCCCATTCCTCTTCCTCGTACAAGTGATCCAAAAGTGCTTGGCAGAGCTCATTTTCGAAGGTACCAAAAACAGGCCAGTATTGGTATTTTCCAATTTCCATATTTCCCCATACTTCTACACAATAGTGTATCATTTTTTCTTTGGACCTTTTCCATCTCACAGAACAGTTCTCCCAGTGTTCTAACATCCAACCCAGGGGACTTTCCCTCGGAATCTCAAGCAATTCCTCTGTTTCCGCCCTTCTTGTTTTTGAATGCTTACCTTTTCTTGTTGTCAGGTGTTCACCCTTTCCTGGCCTAGGATTTTTCCCTTTTGGTCCCCCCCGCACCTTACTGTTTTTTTTTCCCATATTAAAGGTTTTCCTTACCATATTCCAAGTCAGTGTCTGCAAGCCGTTCCAAGAAGTCAGCAACCCGCGTGCTAAAATGTGTATTTCGGTCCTGTCCCGGACCGAAGCTTACCAAGTGTTTAAACCGGTCTGTTCCCGACCGAACCTTGCCAACCTAGTTACCTCACGGTGAACTGGTCCATGAGTTTTCAGTTGGAAGAACAGTGAGCTCTCTTTTACTTGTTTGTTGGGCTCCCCGAGCCCAGAGCCAGTGAGGTTTACCAGTTTCTCGAGTCCACGAGAACGTACCTTCCCTCCCTGACCGGTCCATGGATGGATCCCTGTAACTCACCGAGTTTCAGGTTGTATGCGTGTTGTGAGTATACGGGAACCTTTTCGCTTCCCCCGTAGCTGACCACCTCCCTCTCAGGCTAGTGGAACTGCAGTTTTATTGGCGTCCGCACTCACGCCGTGACTATGTCACGTCTCACACACACACCCAACACACCCCACTCAACCATGCAATACTTACGGCTCCTTTTCCCACATGGATTCTTCATGCACGTTGATTTTACGAGTGAAAGTTTGCTGCTGCAGCCTCGGAGATTTAGCTCCGAGTTCCAAGAGCTCTGGGCCCATTTATATCCTTTCCTTAACGTGGATTTTTGGCTGTTTTTGGAATCTGGTTGGTTCTGTGGAGTTCCTCAGTCCTGTCCAGCTGCTGAAATCAGCAGGGCGCCACCCAGATCGAGGATAGGGAACTCCCTGGATACCTCCAAACCAGATCACGTAAGGGGTCACCAAGATTGTTATAAATGAGAATTTATTCAGCCAGATTAAAAATAAGGAAAAAATAATTTTATTAGCGGTCAAATTCTATCTAGCCAGCCACAGAAAAAGACAGTGCCGAGCCCAGGAATCGTCCCTGGGTGTGCAACAAGGAGTCAGCCTCAGGAAAGGTTTTCCCCTATGCCCACACACCTCCATCCTGACCCAAGCGGTTTTTATAGGGAAAATTCCGCCTGAGGCCAAGATTTCAGCAATCAGTCTTTTCTTCAGAGTACATAGGTTAATAAGATTTTATTTTTTGGTGATGAGGAGGAATAATTCAGTGTCCAGAGTAGGTGAATTCCTGATGAGATTTTACGGGAAGGTTGCATTCACATGTATCTGTCTGAGGATTTCCATGATATCTATCTTGGGCCGTTTACACGATGATCAGCACCCAATGATCAACACCTGGAGTCCCGATGGTCAGAACCTGGAGTCCCAAGATGGCCCATCTCCTGGCCGAGCCACATCCTTTTACTCGTAAATCAGTTTCCAGTATACACCAGTCTCGCCTGCAAGGGGGGGAACTAATACAATGGGCATAATCTAACAAGTATCCAATATTACATATTTCATACAAGGAATGGCGCAAATTATATTTACTACACATAACCTCAGGAAGTTCAGTTGGTCTTTGTGGGACAAAACCTGTTTTGGGCCCAAGAGCTGACTCTAATCCCTGCTAGCTGAACTATCCAGCTGTAGGATGTTCAAAATAAACATTGGATCCTGAAGGGCAGTTTGTAACCCTCTGTAAAACCCCAGGGGAGAGCCAGGCTCCAAGGGCAGCCCTTGGTGCCTCCAGCAGCTGCTGCTGGAAACGCTGGCTGGACTGGTACAGATGGGATTGAACTTTTACACAGCTCTGTCCTGTGGGACTGAGGGTGCCAGACCAGAGAGACTGATGGAAATATGACAAAAGCTTGATTTAAGTGGACACTGATGGGACTGAAAAAGCCATACCCTGGAATGTGGGAAATGGATTTGTAGAAAATTCTCAAAGCTTGACAGAAGGCTCACATAGTGTGCATCTACATGCAAACTTTGAGATAAGAAATGCTGACTTAGAAATGCTATGGAATAGGACACTGAGAGAGAGAAATCTTCCTTACACAAAGCACCAATTTATCCTATTATGCCCTTTTCTGATCCAGAAATAAGGCAACTGAGAAGTGTTTTAAAAACTTTTATTCCATTTTCAGTCTCACGTGAAGGGTGAGACAACACAGATGCTATAATTCATGCCATCACAATCAGAAGCCAACTATTTCCTAATTACAATACACTGAAAGCATTTCTTGGCCTATCAGCTTTTGCTACACCATGCTGTAAATGTCTTAAAACCAATCATCTAAAATTACCCCTTATGAATCTTATTACAATGCATCTTTCATAGTTCTATTTCTCTAAAATATCTAGTCTTATTTACAAAGTCATCCTTTAAAACTTATTTCTAGCTCCATTTCTCTTTCAACATCTGTCCTATTCCATGGCATTTCTAAGTCAGCATTTCTTATCTCAAAATTTCCATGCAGATAGATACTATGTAAACCTTCTGTCAGACTCTGAAATTTTTCTGCAAGTCAATTTCCCACAGCAGAACTGCTCCCTGCCCAGCACAGGAGCTGTGTAAGTGCTGTTGCAGGGTACAATGTCTGAAGGAACACTGGAGCTGTGACATTACAGCCAGCAAAAGCAATTACTAAGTAGAAAGAGATCCTCACCTGGTCCAAGAACTGAACCTCTGTGGCTCATTCTCATGGGGTGACCCTGCTCCAGGGAGGAATCCCACACAGTCCCTGAGACCTGGGATCAGACGCTGCCCTACCAGCAGAACAACAAAGGGTTAATGAAGCTTTTTGGACACATTCTGTCCCCAGAGTGGTTTGACAAACCATCCATCAATGTGGATCTTTAATAAAGACAGCTTGTATCTATGCTTGCAACAGACTTTCATATATTATTTCCTCAAATTCTCTGTTTTAATGTATTTTGATATTACAAGTATTTAAACAAGATTTAACATGAGCTCTGCACCCTGCCATGCTCCAAGCCCTAAGGAAGAGCTGGATATCCTCACACTTGCCCAAGCTGAGGCAACTCTAAGTAGGGAGGGAGCTGCTGCAGCATTTAAAGCGCTTAAAAATCACACTTGCCTTGAGGGTGTCCGGACCTGGGAGAAAGCCCTTCCCACCACCCTCTTGGATTTCCCTCCCTGCCACTGGCTTTGCTTCCAGCTTGGGAAGGTTTGTCTTGGGGCCATTTCAGCATCACAAAGGGCTTTTCCAACCTCAGGGGTTCCATGGGAGCCCAGTGACTGACCCAGCTGTGCACCCAGGCACACAGATTATCCTGCCATGAGCCAGAGCACTCCAGGGCATCCTTGGAACAGCTCTCCTGCGGAGAGCAGGAAAAAGACACTGATCCTGCTCCCTTGCTTTCCCAGAGGGGCATGAACACCATTTCTTCCTGATCCTGAGAGCTCCAGGGGAAAGGGTGGCACTGAAGCTGCCACTTTTCGGGCGCCCTTGCCCTAGAACCATGGCCCAGCAGGTTTCTGTGAGAGCAGGGATTATTGGTGCAGTTCAGAAGCTGCACATCCCTAAAACAATCCTTAATATGAAGTTTCCCATGTGCATTTTGTAGTCCAGTATGTAATTTAAGCGTATTTCAAGAGAGTTTAAATCAGAATGAGGTGACTTGCTGCCAGCACAGCATTAGCTATGGGACATCAGGAGACTCACCAGACAACATTCTCTGCAGAGCCTCCATTCTCAGCACTCCAGCTGCAGTATTCGCATTTCTCACGGACTCCGAGTTCTGTTTCCAGGACTCCCATCAGGAAACTGGCGGCCGCTTCCAGATGCAGATCCCCAGGGCACCGCTGATCCCAACCACTGCACTGCACTTGCACTGCACTTGCACTGCACTGCACTGCGCCGCGCCCCGCCTCGCCTCCTTCCTCCATCCTTTATCCCTTTTATAGCTACGGCCCCACCCAGAACACAAAAGGAGACCCCCAGGTGCCTCCTGAGACCCAAATCATTCCACGTGCATCAGGAAACAAATAGAAATAAGCTCATCCCTTTTGAGGTAATGGATTAACTTTTTCTCAATTCCCCATTCTGTGTCCTGTTCCCTAAGGCAAAACACCTAGATCAGGTGGGGTTCAGGGGGAAAATGCCAAGTCCAAAACCAAACCAAACTTATTTTTCCATCGGTTTCCATCAGGACTGTTCAGGTTTTCCCACTGACCCTCGGCCGTAGCCACAGGAGCAGCTTCTCTGCGCAACCCACGGGGGTGGGCACAGGGACACCCAACCCACTGCTTCCCGGGAAACAGAGCTCAGCCCATCCCACAAAACGTTGTCACCGTAGCTGGGAACGCGGCGCGAGCTTTATTCCATGAAACACGATCCCAGAGAGCCTCAAGTCCCGGGACAAACTCGTCCCACGAAGCAGCTGGGTCCCACATATCAGTGCTAAAGCACACACGTTCCCCTGTGGATCCCACCGGCCGAGGTGACCCCTCCGGCCGCTCTCCTGCAGCACCATCCGTTCGCTCCCGGCCTTGCTGCCCGCTCCTGGCGCAGCTGCCGCTGGCACGGCAGGAGCAGGGCGGCCGAAGAGAGCGACCCCCGCGTTCTGTGCTGCTGGCCGCGCTCCGGCGGACACGGGGGTAGGCAGGGGCGGAACTGCAGCCCGCGGTGTCGCAGCTGTCCCGCGGCCCGGCCGGTGGGTACTGCCCGCAGCTTCCGCGGTGCCACCTTTCCCTGTGGCAGCAGCTGACCTCGGTCATTCCTGCTGCTTCCAGGGAGTAAAAGCCGCCTCGGGAATTTGCTTCTGATAACAGCGATCAGTTTTCTGATAGGAGCCCCGGAAATAGAGCTGAGTATCTGTGACGCATGAGGATGCTACAGATGGAGGAGAGAGGAAATCTTGTTCCTGACAGTTACCCATGGAAAGAAAGCAATTCCCAGCCATCTTATGCTTGAAAAACAGGGAAAGGGAATTCTGTGTCCTCTCCTGCTTAGGATGTACATTTTTACTGTCCTAAAAGGGGCCATTTGAGGCTTTAGAGAGATATGAGTGGGTCAAGGATCTGCTACCTTGGCAGGGCAGAAGGTGGAGCTGCTGTTTGTGATTGTGACAGACCTGAATAATTAGAGATCAGTGGAAAGTTGTTCAGTGCACCAGAAATTATGGAGAATGTCAGCTTGACTCGTGTCACATGTAGAGCTGGGACAATGACCCTGAACACCCCAAAAAGGTAAAGAAACCCTGAGCCACGCTGTCATCAGACCCCATAGGGGCGGTTTATTGGAAGTGCCAGTAAGGAATAACGGGAATTCCCTGGCCATCAGCTTGGTCCCACCTGCCCACACCACTGCCCTTGGGAAGTGCTATTCTTCATGGCTGAGAAGCCAACAAACAATTTTTTCCTTTGTCCCCTAAAACTGTTCTCTGCTCTCCCAAATTTCTCCTCAAACAGCATCCTTTCTCCTTCCGTCTCTCTGCTCCCTCCCCAAGTGTGTGGCTTCACTGCTCCCCGGCGCTTCGGCAATTAATATAATTGATGCTGAGCCTCACTGAGCCAGTGAGAAGTGCCGAGGGGCTCAGGCCAGGGCTGGCCGTGCCAGCACCATGGTGCGCTGCAGCTGCTCGTATGACACAAACATCACCACGTTCCAGGAGCCCAGCCGCAGGAAGGACGGGACGAAGCTGTGTTGGCAAAAACAGTGCTGAAGGGGACATGCCACGGACATCCCCATCCCCAAAGCCCCGCTTGGAGGTTGGGATATTTTGGATTCTGTGCTGCGGGTCCCTGCGGTCATTGCAGTGAGTTTGCGGGTGCTTAACTCACCCCTTGTAGAGGCCGGTGGGGCCATCCTGCACGAGCAGGGCCAGGAGGCAGCTGAGGGCGTTGCGGTACTGCCCAGAGCTGGCGTTCATGTACCGCGTCTTCACCACATCCACTGGTGATGCCACCACTGTGGCACAGAACCCAGCGCCAAAGGCGGCCACGAAGTGGCACAGGATGTTGTCTAAAGGTGGAGAAGAGCTGGGAGTTGGATGCTGCGGGGACAGGGATGGCACCTGGCTATGTGCCCCCGCGCCATCCTCACCTGTCATGAGCTGTGCCTGCAGCAGCGTGTCCTTGAGGAGGTCGTAGGTGACGAGCTCCCCGCAGTTGATGATGGCATTGCGGGCGATGTTGGGCAGTGTCCCTGCACAGGAGGGTGGTGGCGCTGGGACTGCTGCTCACAGCCCCTCCGGGAGCATTCTGGGCAAGTGCCCCAGCCCTGCTGCCTCCATCCTTGCCCCCATCCTTCTTCCCTTCCTCATGGCCATTTCTGTTCCGATTCCTACCACACCCCTTTCCCACGCCCATCCCTGCCCATGCCTACCTCTCCAGAGGCCGCGGACCCCCTCCTCCCTGGCGATGGTGCGATAGGCATCCACCGTACCGCTGTACCGCCGGGCACTGTCCAACGGGGCCCTGCTGGCCTGGAACCGGACCTTGACCACATCAGTGGGCTGGGCGCAGGCTACGGCCACAGCCCCCGTGGTGCAGCCAGCCAGGAGTCGCGTGGCCACGTCTGTGTCTGGAGAGGGCAGCTATTGGGACTCCTGGCCCTGCAAGGCCCCCCAGCCCTGCAGGGACCCCAGGGTGAGAAGCCCGTGGTGCTTCACAGAGGGTGATGTCAGGGGGTTGTGCCCCCCAGGGTGGGTTTCTCTTTGGGAAAGGACTGTGCAGCAGGAAGGGGGTGTGCAGGGAAGTCCAGGCCACCTGGACACTCACTCTCAGCACCCTTGGGGGTGTAGAGCTGCTTCACGGAGTCGTACAGACCGATGCGGATGGAGGCGAAACTCATCTGGCGCTGCAGCCCGGCTGCCAGCCCACTGTAGAGGCTGCGGGCTCCCTCTGTCCTCACCATGGTGCTCAGCGTGCCCCAAACACCCCGGTACTCCATGGAGCTGGTGGTCTGGGGGATCCTCACCTCACCCTGGATCTGTGGGGTGCCAACTGTATCACCCCACCTCCTGTTCCTCCCCAGGTGTCACCAGCTCTGTGGCAGAGGTGACGTGGAGAGTCCCACGTCACGTCACCAGGTGCTCTCTTTGCCCACAGGGTTTTGGGGACCGTACCTGCAGCCTCACTTTGGCAGTGTCCAGGGGGAAGGTGCACAGGTCAGCGATGCAGCCGGCCATCCCCGCGCTGACGAACTTCATGGCAACCGTCGGGGGCACCTCGGGGGGCTTCAGACCCACCATGGCGGCAGAGGGGCTGGAATGAGAGGAGGGGTTTGTGGGGGAGCCAGCAGGGTGCATCAGGACAGGGTTCCACGTGGGTGTCCTGTTCGGTGACAAGAGGTGATGATGTGCCATGGAGGCTCTTGGTGGCTTTGGTCAATCCCAAAAACCATATCCTGCCCTGTCTCAGAGGAGGATCCCTGAGATAGATTCCCTTCTATTGCAGGGAAACTGAGGCACAGGGCTTTCTCAGCATGGAATCACCAATGCCCACCAATGCTTCCCTATCCCACACCAGCCATAATGGGGGTTGCTGGCTGGGATCATTTCCCCCAGAGTGACGTGCTCAGAGCCATGTCCCTCCATGGTCTCACCGTAGGGACCTCGACACAGTGTTCCAGCTCCTGCCTTGCACAGACAGTGCCCTGAGAGTCGTCTCGCTGGCCCCGCCCTTATATAGAACCCAGGACAACATTCCAGCAGGCACAGATCGGGTGACAAGAAAACAGTGTTCCCCCAGTGGCATTTCAGTTGATGGGACTGGGTCACCTGACACCGACTGAGGTGGCTGGTCCAGCTCTCTGTCCCCCTCCCGGGGCTCAGGCATAGGGAGGGGGGTCCTGCCCAGACCCCCTGCAGTGGACTGGGGAGGAATGTCAGTTTTTGCCCTAAAACCACTCTGGGAAGGACAAGATGCAGAAAACCCATGCCCCAAAGCTTCACAAGCAAGTGATTTGGAAGCAGTGCAGCACTGTGCATACCGTTGCCCGGCACAGATCATGATCCACAATCCCAGACAGCTGCTGAGCTCCCAGCAGGGTTGCCTCTTCACGGTGGAACGTGTTCCCCAAGCTCAAGTGGAGCTGGGGCTGGGTAAGCACCTAGGAGCAAAATCCACCATAAAACCTATGGCACTCTTCAGAGCCAGGCACTGGGCCTGAGGCTGCCGGGAGGGACTGGGCTTGGGACAACAGGCTGGAGGCCAAGGTAGAGTGAAGAAAGGCCCCTTTTCCTCCATATTTTAAAAACTCCATGTGTTTAACCCTTGGTGCTCTTTAGCCCTACTCACAGAAGGGTCTCTCAGGATGTGCTGCGAGCCTCAGCATGTGTACCTGAGCTCACCATGCATGAGAAGGACTTTGGTCCTGACACCCTGGAGCCACCTTTGCTCCATCCCTCAGGCTCCAGACAAAAGCTGCCTGGTACCAACACCCCTCCCCAGCTGGCTCCTCCCTTGTTTTCCTGCCCAGCTCCATGGCTGACCTAGACCTGAAAGGAAGACGTTGTTTACCTCATGCCCAAGATATAGCTCAGCGGTCACTGCTGTGACCTCCTCTGAGACAGTGATCCCAGCTCAGCTGGCATCCTGCCTGAGTTTTTTTGGGGATGCCACCAGGAGAAAGCAGCCTGCATGTCACTCCTGCGCTTCCTGGGGACACTGGGTACCTTTACCTTCCAGACCCAGCAAGGGCAGGGAAAGGGGCCACAATCACAGGGCAAGTTGTGTCATCAGGGACTGATGCATTCAGGGTGTCTCCTGGGAAAAACAACAATATACAAGTGGGAGAAAAAAGGTATGTTGATCCTTTGGCTGGTTAAATCCTGAATTCCATGCACGGTTTGAAAAGCAGCTCAGAGACTTAGCCCACATGGGGCTGTGCTGTCCGGTGATACTGAACTCCTTGGCAAAGCCATGATCTTCCCATGTGATCCTGACCACTCCAGCTTCCAGCAGCATTTCTCTGACTTGGAAGCTCATGTGGGAGAGACTCCCATCTACTGTTGAGGAAAGGTTTCTGCCCTGGCACAGGGACACTTTCCATAGGTTGACAAGAAACCAGGGGAATTTTATTGAAACAAACACTGGAGAGAGCAGTACAAAAATAACTGAGCTCTGCTGGCATCAAAGTCTGTTCTCTGAAAGGTGTACAAAAATAACTTAAATATAAATATAAAAGTCCCATCTTTCTAGTCACCCTCTTTTGTACACCCACCAGATTTTACGGTGCCCTTGGCCTGTGCTCACACAAGCACTTTGGGCACCTGTGGAATCAGAGAATTGTGTTGCTCACCATTTTTGAAAGGGCCATTTCACAGGAATAAATCCTAAAACTGGGCTACTTGGAGAGCAGATAACAGGTCAATGGTTGCCACACAGGTGCATCTCATTGGGGACCTGCCCCTACACGACGTAACTCGCTGTGGGTGACCACAGGCTTTAAGCCCTTCTAAATAGGGGACTTCAATTAACTAACCAATTAGGCAAACTAAAACCAGAGCCTGAAAGCTGTGGCTTCCACCTCCGCTTTACTGGGAGGCTCTTTTTTTGCCAATGCAGCTGGCCCTGGCTTAGGAAACTCAGCTGTGGAAGGTCTCTGGCCAACACTATTCCTTCTTGGAGAGCTGAGCAGAGAAGATCCTGGCAATTCTTTTGGCTTCCTCTTCCAAGAGCTCAGGGCTGGGCCTGGGACGATTTGCTCTTCGGTATGGGATTCCTCCAGGCACTGCTCCACTCCTGCTCTGGGGAGAGAAGGAACCAGGTGTGAGAGCTCTTGGTTTCATGTTGTGCAAACCACAGGGCTGTGCAGAGGGTGACAAGATGGATACACATAAGAAAACACCCCAGTGAGAAAGAACAATCTGAACCCTTCAACAGGGGTCTTCTGTGTGACCTCTGAAATTCTCAGTGCCAATTCCCAGCCAAAGTCTCCCTGTATGAAGCCAAAGGAATGACAGTGGTGTACTCACTGGGACCTGACTGCATTTTGGCTTTCCATTATTATTTTACTTTATAATTTCCAGAACCCTGAAGACCAAATCTCACAGGGGAGAGGCAATGCTCTGTCAAAAACAATCTTAACCCTGCTGACAGGACAAGGCAGGGAGTGGGTTTAAACTAAAAGAGATTTAGATTAGATATTGGGATAAAATTCTTCCCTGGGAGGGTGGTGAGGCCCTGGCACAGAGTGCCCAGAGCAGCTGTGTCTGCCCCTGTATTTTTGGAAATGCCCAAGGCTAGGCTGGATGGGGCTTGGAGCAACCTGGGCTACTGGAAGCCATAGCAAGGGATGGGGCTGGATAATCTTTAAGGTCCCTCCCAGCTCAAACTACCACTGTGAGTCCATGATAAATGGGATGGGCCAGGCTCAGTTGACTGCAGAGACCCCAACGCAGCAGCCCATGACAGGAAAAACCCTGGTTTAACCAGTGTCATCTCTTCCTTGCTTTGCCAGCAGCCTCCCAGCAGTCTGGCTTTGCCCCTGATGTTCCAGCAGCACTAGAGGATGAGTAATTTCAGCATACAAAGAAAGAAATTTCTCCCAGCTAGTTTAGAGTGGGCTGTGCCTATGAAGCACTGAGAAAAGTGATCCTGTCCCAGGAGCCTTTAAGGGAGGAAGCTGGGGGGCCTGGAAGGTCTTTTGGAAAACTGATATGCCAATCTGGCCTTTCACCCACATCACTGGGCTGCTTCTCTGAGCCTCAGGAAGGGTCTCCTGAGGTGCACAGCTCCCTCACAAGAGAAACAGCACCAGGACCCTGTTTTGGTGCACTCTGAGATGCACCGTTTGGAGAGGGAAATGGATTTTTTTAGGAATAAGTAAATCCTTGTGTTTGGTGACCTGTGCATGACAGCTGTGGGTCTCAAATTCAGTCAAAGAGAGAAATGGAGAGTTTCTAGCCAGGCAGAAGCCTGGGAAAGAGTTGAAAAAGAATGTAAATAATTCTTTATCTCTCTTGTTGTTCACATTGTTTATAGTTAAGTTCTATCACTGTGCATCAAGCACTTTACACCAATGCTGTGGGTTGTTTTCACTTCAGGTCAAATGGAATTGGTCCTCACAAAGCTCTGTATAAAAGAGCAGTGTATTTTGAATAAACTGGAGTTTTACTCTCAGAGCCTTCTGAGTTAGAGTCTTCTCATTCCCATCCTGCCTCAACAGCAACATACAGCCTGCAGGTAAAATACTTAAAAACACTTCCCATTCTTATTGCACTGAAATAATGGACAGAGATAATTAGAAGAATCTTTGCTTTGCTCTTCTTTCTTAATAATTCTCCAGGATGAACTTCCTAAACCAAAATACACAGAGCCAAGAGAGATTAAATGCAGACCTGGCCACTGCAGAAGCTTACAAACCAGCAGAAAGAGCTGCTTGGTGGGCAAAACACCTCCCTTGGACAGGGCTCTCCAGAGACCAGGACAGTAGCTCATTCTTCGCACACTGTTTTCTGCCCAGCTGTCCAAGAAATAGCCAAAAGGTCAGAAGTGGCTGGAGAGGGGCAGTGACCAGGCTCTGTGCTGATCCCTGAGTTCTGCACAGCATCCAAAAGCATCTCCCTAGGAAATTCCCCCAATCTGCTGACTTACCCTATTTCAAAGTTGCATGAAACAGCATTTCCTGCCTCCCACAGCTCCCCTTTCCTGTATGCCACGTGTCCTGCACAGCCAGGGATGGGGAGCCAGCACCTCCCATTTTCAATGTCAGGAACAGAATCCCAGAATGGTTTGGGTGGGAAAGGACCTTAGAACCCATCCAGTGCCACCTCTGCCATGGGCAGGGACACATTCCAGTATCCCAGGTTGCTCTAAGCCCTGTCCAACCTGGCCTTGGGCACTTCCAGGGATCCAGGGACGGCCACAGCTTCTCTGGGCACCTGTGCCAGTGCCTCTCCTCCCTCACAGTCAGTAATTCCTTCCTAACATCTAATACCCCTAGAATGCTCTGTTCTCCAAAGCCACAACACAAGAGCAGGTGCCTGATGCTGTTTGATGTCACCAAGGTGAAGGAGAGCTGTTTGCTCCCACAGTCAGGAAACCAGGTGTGCTTGTAAAACACACCACTGGCATGCTGTTTCAGAGATCAGCAGCTAAAATACACCTCCTCCCATCTTCCTACCATTGTCCAATGTGCAGGATGAAGTGGTGTTAAGATGTGTGTATTTATCCTAACCACCTTCCTAAAGATGAACTTCCAGCTGTGGGGAAAGTTTAACATCAGTTTTTGCTGCTGTTTTACACGTACAGGTGTGACTCAAAATGAGTGAGGTTTAAAAGCACCATTAACACTCCCAGCTCAGGCAGATGACCAGAATCACAGAATCATGGAAATACTGAGGTTGGAGAAGACACATAAATCATGGAGCTGTTTCCTCAGCACTGTCAAGGCCACTACTATCCCAAGTGCCACAAGTCCCCAGATGCCCCATCCACACAGCTTTAAACCCCTCCAGGGACAGGGACTCACTGCTGCCCTGGACAACCTTCTGGGGGAAAAATTTCCCCCCAATATCCAACCTAAATCTTCCCTGGTTGAACAACTTGACTGTCCCCATTCCCTGGGAGCAGAGCCTGACCCCCCTGGCTGTCCCCTCCTATATCTGGGAGTTGTGCAGAGCCACAGGGTTCCTCCTGAGCCTCCTTTTCTTCAGGCTGAGCC